ATTCAACCTGTGTGCAGGATTGTGACTAAGGACTTCCAACAGCATCCTCTGCCTGTCCCTGTTGCCATGCCCCCTCACTACAGGTCTTGGATTAAGAGATTGCAGAGTCACTATTGCCTTGTTGAATCACCTGCACTGTGATTGGGGTCTAGAGGGAAAGGTGTGTGCAGTTCCCGTCCCACTCTCCTGTCCATGCAAGCCATGTGCTGTTCTGGTACAGAAATTGCAACGAGTAAGCGCAACAAACATGGATGCAGGTTTACATTTTGAGTTCTTTCTCCTAGTGAATGTCCTTGGCCCCTTGTGAGTCTTCCACCTTTCCAGAGTTACTTTTGGAAGGGCAATCACATGTCTCTCTAGGTTGCTATTGGCTGTTGGCTTATTTGATGGTGGCCTACCATTTCCTGGTCCACTATTGACTTTAGGCATCTATGGCATTTTATAAGGCATTGCAAATTATTTCAGTTGTATACTTGAATACAGGTTTGGGTCTTTTCCTTTTACATAAAAAGATTTGATAAAATGACTTGGTGCTGGTGAAATGTGCCAGATGAAGAGCCCTGTGCTGAAGACCGAAATCCCTGTGCACAGAATGGGCTACACCAGAGGTTGTGGCAGTGCAAGCTTCCACAGTCTGCTCCAGTCTTGTGCTTCAGGGTAGGGGAACACGTCAGTCTGCATGCACCTTTCAGTCCTTTGTCTCAGTTGAATCTATATTGAGTCCCTAGCTGTGTCCAATCCTGTCTGTCTGTCTGTCTCTGGACAGGAAATGGTACTTTTGGTTTCACAGCATAGGGTGGAAGAAATGTCTAGTTTAGTCTGCTTATCTTGTGCTGATGATCCTGGGATTATCATTTCTCATACTCTTAAGATTTAGAGCCATTGCACCATGCAATTTCTTGTTTAACCAGCACCCTGGGACCTTCAAGTTTTTAAACGAAGAAGAACAGTATCTTCCTTACGTGAACATTCTTCTTCAGCGAATAATTGTTTTATAGAATTTGTGCTGTCAAATACTTCAGTTGGCTTCAGGATACTTACATTAAGCACATAGCTGATCTCCTTCATGTAGTTCTACAAAGGTCTCCAGAGCCAAGGAATGCAAAGCTGGAAATGGTTGCAATCACTTTGGAGGCCAGGAGTAGAACTCAAAATGACCATCACAAATTAGAGAAGTGGTTTGAAATCAACAAGATGAAATTTAATAAAGACAAATGCAAAGTACTAAGCTTATGAAGGAAAAATCAAAGGCATACAAAATGGTGAATAACTAGCTGGTGGCAGTATGGATTAGAAGGATTTGGAGGTTATAGTGAATTGAATATGAATCAACAAAGGGATGCAGTTGCAAAAAAGGCTAGTATTCTGGGATTTATTAACACAAGTGTCATATGTAAGACATGGGAGATAATTATCCCACTCTGCACAGCACTGGTGAGGCTTCAGCTGGAGTACTGTGTCCAATTTTGGACTTTAGGAAAAATGTGGATAAATTGGAGGGAGTCCAGAGGAGAGCCACAAAGGTAATAAAAGGTTTAGAAAACCTCACCCATGAGGAAAGGTTAAAACCACTTGGTATGTTTAGTCTTGAGAAAAGAAGACTGGGGGGCTGGGAGGGAAGCACCTGATAACAGTCTTCAAATATGTTAAGGGCTGTTTAAAAAGAGGACGGTGATCTGTTGTTCTGCATGTCCACTGAAGATAGGACAAGAAGTAGTGGACTTAATCGGCAACAAGGCAGATATAGGTTAGATATTAGGAAAAACTTTTATTGTAAGGATGGTAAAGCTCTGGAATAGGCTTCCAAGGAAATTGTGGAATCCCCATCATTGGGAGGTTTTTAAGAACAGATTGGACAAACACTTGTCAAGGATGGTTTAGGTATACTTGGTCCTGCTGAGGGGGTGGACTCAGTGACCTTTTGCAGTCCCTTTTAACCCTACATTTCTAAAATTACATGCCCCAGAGTTTGCAAGTCTAAAAGGGTCTGAGAGTTAGAGGGAGGAGAAGATCCAAGTTCATAAATGCAAATAATCTTCCACTCATCATTTTACATTTGTACATTAGCTTTCAGCCCAAAGCACATCTTAAGGTGAGGTGGGGAGGGGAAGCCAGCCAGTGGATAGTACACTGCACAATCATGGGGAGAAGGAATATGCCTGTTGCTGACATGGAATGTGCTAGTGTAAACAAGGCTTCAGACTCTAGTAGGGCTGTATGTATTATGAGATGGCAATGGTTGCTCCATATTTAAGGTTAATAGATTGTAAGGCCAGAGGGGACCAATGTAATCATCTAGTCCAACCTCCTGCATGATGAGGGCCATAGGACTTCCCTGAATTAATTCCTGCTTCAAGTCCAATATGCTCTAGTTCAACTACAGCTATCTTTTACAAAAACCTCTCACCTTGATTTTAACATTGCCAGTGATGGAGAATCCACCACAACCCTTGTTAAGTTGTTCCAGTGGTTAAGTATTCTCACTGTCAAAAATGTGTGCCTTATTTCTAGTCTGAATGTGCCCCTCTTCAAGTCCCAGCCGTTGGATCTTGTTGTACCTTTGCCTGCTAGATTGAAGAGCCATTGATTGTAAAATTTCTTTTCCCCATATAGGTATTCATAGACTGTCATCAAGTCACTCCAAAACCTTCTCTTTGATAACATATGGTTGTAATAGGAGCCAGATCCTCAGCTAGTGTAAATGGTTGAGATCCATTGACTTCAATGCAGATTTATAGCAGTTGAGGATCTAGGACCTCTCTAAAATCCACAAATTTAAGAGAGATGTTTCCTAGGACCATTGTGCCCAGCAAAGGAAAACATTACAATTTTGCCATTCTGTTAACTAAAGAGCAAAAACATATGCTCCCATAATTAGCCATGGTATACGTTAGAAACACATCTGCAACTATATTTACAGTGTTTGAGATTAGCAGTTGACTGAGGACACCACAGTAATTAAAAACCGTTTAAGAATGATTATCATCTGGTCCGGTGAGCCAGTAATGAGTACAGCTGAGACTGTGCTAACTTTAGACAGCCAAGTTTGTAAAAATAAACTGTTTGAATGCAAAACACAGTCATGGAGAAAAGTTCTCTGGAGACCTTTAATTAGCTGTTTTGTAACTTTGGTCCATTAATTCCTTTCTGTTCAGATGTTTAGCCTCATTTGGGCCATGCATTTTGTTAAATGAGTACTTATTGATAGTAGGTAGTTTGTTTTATTTACTGGAGTTTACTTCGTTGCTGATGGATATAGATATATACAATTTTGCAAAGTTAAAACTACAGGAACAATGGATATTGTATTGTCTTTGATCTGACCATTGAAAAGGTTTCTGTCTGCTGTCTGTCTGCCTCATTAATGGAGACTACAAAGTAGTCATTCAACAGCCTGCTAGTCCACTAAAGCACATTGTCGGCCGGTCACTTTTTTGGTGCCTCTTATTTATTTTAAAAGATTTGATTGCCAGCTGCAGGCAGTGTTTCTCCTCTTGTGGCTTAATATTGCACAATAGCCTGGGTGTGCTGTGGCTTTTTGTCCTTTAAAACACCTGATATAGGCTGAAGGAAGGATACCAGATTTGGATGGACCGTTAGTCTGTTGTGGTAGAGCAATTTCTGTGTAAGACTGAAGTTAACAAAATTCAGGACCCAAGAACACCAAATAAAGACAACTGAAAATAGAGGGTTAAAATATGACATTGAAACAACATATTTGATGAATACCATATTACATTATTTTCCTTTATAAATTTTAACTGGATATTAAAAGATACAGGTATAAGGACAAATCAGCATAAAGAATCAGATAAAGTATAGGAGATTTACATGATGAAATTCATACCAGCAAAGGTGTAAACATCCCACAGTAAGAAGTTTGACCCCCATGAGAGAACTTGTAACAAAGAGACTTCATTTCAATAAGCTTTCATTTTAAAACTAGTTGACTGAGAGTCCCGCTGTGCTGAGACCAGCCTAGTCTTGGCTGACATCTGAAAACATGTTCTTATACAAGTGCCTGCTCCAAATCCATGTGTGTCTGTCAGGTGCATGCTGTACTCAGTGGATGGTATTTTAGTGTTTGGGAATGGAGGAATGGGTTCCTGATTCAAAATAAAAATCCTTGATGCTTGTCAGTGTATAGAGTCATTCAATAAATAAAAGAACAAAGTCCTACAGTCACTACTCAATCAAAACTTCCATAGATTTCATGGGACAGAGTAGCGACTACAAGATTTGTCCCATTGTGAGGTTCTTTCCATACTGAATCAGCCTGTTGGCTGTGATATCTGACAGCTGTGTGAAGTTCTTCAAACAAATTGAATGACATCAGGTAGCTTGTGCATAAGGAAACTTTTCTGACCTGTTCAGAAATCCGTGTCTGCCATTCTCCATAGGTACATGTAACTGTTTTCAATTGGTAATTTCCTTAAGGAAAAAATTATATTAGTGAGCAAATCAGAAAGACTAAAAATAATTTTTCAGTGAATGGAATTAGGCAGTTTAGGATTTAGGCAGTGTAGTTGCTCCCTTGTTCATTTCCCTTCCCCCCCCTTCCCCCCAATGTTCCTCCATGCCCCCAAGAGGTGCACGCCCCACAGTTTGGGCACTACTACACTATGCTGTTTGTTTACATTTTGTATTTTTCTTTGTGGACAATGAAAATAGACAATCAGTTTCATTTTTGATGTCTACTCAGTTTCATTTTCTGGTTCTCATACACTAGCACAAGGCTGCAGTGTTTGGATTACAAACACTGCAGGAGATGGTTTATTTCATACAGTTAAAATTTTAAATAATGATGGAAATATTTGTTTTTACTTTCCTAAATGCCTAGCCCAATTTGGGCTGACAACGTCTCCGTAAAGATAACTGCTAAAAAGTTATAGGATTTTATTAATCTTATAAAAATGTATTGAGGAAAATGAAGCATTAAACATGATTATACACATCAGGCTCAGTAGCTTTGTTCTAATGTTATCTTTTTCATCTTTCAGAATCTGACTTGTCGAATTTGGCCAGATTATACAGAGATGAGCGATTAAAACAGAAAGCGGAGTCACTGAAACTTGAGCACTGTGAAAAGCTCTCCAATCTTATTGGACTTCACAAGGGGGGCTGAGTAGGCCAGACAAATCCTGGGTTATTTATTGCTGTTTTAACTTGTTTCTATTTTCCTTTGTATTTATTAAAAAAAGAAAAGAAAAAGAGCCTAATGTAGAGTTTTAATAATTGGTAACTTTGTAATGTTCACCGAACTGGGCAACCCTGAGCCATAGACACAGTATTTGCTCTAATATACTGTATACTCTGGTTGGTTCCAAAAACCAATGGTATTCAATGTAAATTAACTCCCTAAAATGTAGCTTAGTTTGGCACCAGTCTTCATTTGATATAGTTTTTCTCCCACCCAAGCAACTTTGCTTCCCAGGAAAGTGTACATAATATCTCATATACCCTGTATTTTATTTGGACATAGACCACACTCAGTCATTCAGGCGATGTAGTTTTCAGTTATATGCTGGCATTCCCATATTCATCTGAAGCTGATGTCCTTGCATCCAAAATGGCTTGTGAAAAAAAATTGAGAGAGGGCATACTCCCTGCTCCATTCTACTTTCCAGTGCTTACCTCAGGTATTCATCAAAGCCTTGATTCAGCTAAGTACCTAAGTATGTACTTAGGTCTCATTGAAGTCAGTGAGATTTAAGCATGTGCTTAAAATTAAGCATGTGTTATGTGCTTTGCTGAATTTAGATCCAAACCTATACTATTCTTTTATAATTAGTGATGTAATTAACCCAGATTGCCAGTAGGAATTTGGAAATTGTTTATTTCTGTAATAGCATATTTCAGTTGCTAACATTCATTTCTGTGCATGTGGGATGCATTCCTGGAGTCCCTGCTCTTGTCATTTGAACTCACCCATTTATCCTTTTCTCTCACGTGGAAAACTTGCAATGATAACATTCATTGTGAAAATTACAGCTATTCTTTAGCTAAATTTGAAGGATGCCAGTGGATCTAATTAAGCAAAGGTGTATCCCATCTCTTTTGCAATGAGTGGGAGAAGCTTTCCCCCAACTAACTAAGAAAACAAGCTCAAACTTTGAGAGTTTCATTGTAATCAGAAACTTACAAGAGGTGATAATTTGTTAACTTTACAGTAGGAAAGGAATCTTAGGTGGATTCTTATGACTGCCAAGCCACTGGAGAAGAGGATGCAGCCAGATACATTGTTCTCGTGTATTCTATTCAGTGGCACAGTATTTTTATTTTTAAGCTTATTGTCTAGTTTGATTTTATCTCCAAGCCTTCTCTTTCTTCTTGCTCCAACAGAGATTCTCCAGGCAGTTTTTTGATACAGTTCTTATTTAACACATTCTTGCTTTGATGTGCAATTGTCATGCATGTTTCACTCTAGAGATTGAATTTTTTTCTTTGTAATACTAATTTATTACTCTCCTGTTTTATAATTCTCTTTTATAAAATCTGACATTTAATGGAAGGCAGAGGAAGAGATGTACTCATATGTAAAGTCATGAGTGGTGTGGAGAAAGTGAATAAGGAAAAGTTGTTTACTTGTTCCCATAATATAAGAACTAGGGGCCACCAAATGAAATTAATGGGTAGCAGGTTTAAAACAAACAAAAGGAAGTTCTTCTTCACTCAGTGCACAGTCAACCTGTGGAACTCCTTGCCTGAGGAGGTTGTGAAGGCTAGGACTATAACAGGGTTTAAAAGAGAACTGGATAAATTCATGGAAGTTAAGTCCATTAATGGCTATTAGCCAGGATAGGTAAGGAATGGTGTCCCTAGCCTCTGATTGTCAGAGGGTGAAGATGGATGGCAGGAGAGAGATCACTAGATCATTACCTGTTAGGTTCACTCCCTCTGGGGCACTTGGCATTGGCCACCGTCAGTAGACGGGATACTGGGCTGGATGGACCTTTGGTCTGACCCAGTATGGCCATTCTTATGCTCTTATGTTAAGAGAACAAAATGTTACTACAAATAATCAAGTTACTGGCTGTGTTCCTCTAGTGCAGGGCAGCTACTGTGTACTGCATTACCATTATAATCTAGTTTAACTGGCCTAAGAACTGTAAGGCTGATCCTCCAGTGGACTAGATCTGATGTAGAGGCTCTTATTCCACACAACCACCCTGCAGCCAATGTAGCTGGGAAAAGAGGGCATGGCCCAGATGCTTCTGCAACATTTCAATCCTCAGTTGCATTTTGGCCCCTTATAACTATTTCAGCCTGGTGTAAATTAGAGCATCCTTTCAGCTGCTCTAACAGTACAAAGAGACCAGCCTGCATGCAGCTGCAGGAGGATCAAGGCTGTCCAAAGGTGGGTTTTAAACCACTTATGCCTATACCCTTAATAGGACTCTGCAGCTTAGCTGCACCCCATGTTCTGGACTGTTGTATTTAATCTTTGACTTGACTTAACAGCAGAAGGGGTAGGCACTCATCATACTTTTCTTTTCTTTTTCTGTCTACAAATTTGTTAAACAGACTCTTCTAGAGGATGAAATTGCCTTTTTCCACGGACTAGGTACATTACTTGTAGTGATAGTGCAGGCTTCTCCATGTTCAGCCCAGATCTTGTTAGTAATAGTGACTCTTGTAATGTGTTGACACCTCTCCACTAAGAACTAATCCAATACTCCACCCACTTTTAAACCTCACGATAGGTAGTGCAGGTAGCCACAATTTGCTTTTTTTTTTTTAAATCTAAGATATCACATACAAAATACTACCTGAGAATAACGTTAAGGTTGCAAAGTCATGGGCTCCAAAATTAAGAAATGGCAGAATTAAGGTTGCCCATGCAGCTTTAGTGCAGCCTCTGCGTACGTTATTTTGCAGTCTATAATTACATGATCACATACTTTTTTTTTTTTTTCCCCTCACCGGACTGCTGCCTCGTTCAGTGTACAGGATGCAGTGCTGAGGAAAAATGAATCAGGGTTGTATAGAGACAGTTGTCTGTAAGACTGTTTATTGTAGAAATTGGAAGGTGCATGGGGAATGAAATGGGATTGCAGTAAGAGAAAGGATAGTTTGATAGTTAAGGTAACTGAATTCCGCGCTTGAAAGGTTGGATTCTGTCCCTGCCTCTGCCATAAAGTTTTTGTGTGGTGCTGGGCAAGTCACTTAAGCCGAACTTTTTTCACAGGTGGCCGCTAGTTTGTTTGTCATCTTGTGAGTGTCTGATTTGAGACACCTGGGGGCTGATTTGCAGAAGTGCTGAGCACTCACAACTGTAGATGAAGTCTGTGTTTTGAACATATAAAGTGTTATAAAATACGAAGTTTTCTGAAAAATCAGACTACAGGCACCTTGGACACTTTTTTGACAGGAATCTCTCTGCCTCAGCCCCCCCATATGTGAAATGGGAATAATACCCCCTTTTCTCTAAGGGTGTTGTGAAGATAGATTGATTGATGGTTGTGAAGCACTCAAATACTATAGTGATGAGTTCTATAGAAAACCCACAAAGAAATTAAATCTGTATTTGATGCAGGGCTTGGATGGCGTGCAGTATAAATAAGGATGGACGCCACAGACTGCTCAATGAGGATAAAACAAAATATTGAGTAGCTGCTTATTCAGCGAGCAACATCCATCCTGTGCTCTGAATGAGGCAGGGATCCTGCAGGGGGAAAAAATAGTATGTCCTCATATAATTAAAGATTGTATCATCATGCATGCTCACAAGGGTGCCAAATTAACATTTCACAGGCGACCTTAATTCTGCTGTTTTCCTAATCTGAGTGCTGTACTTGACTTTATATTAAAAAACTTTATAAACAGCATTGTATATGTAATTTGATATATGCCACAATAGATTTTATGTGAACAGCAGGTCAGTGTTTACACCGAGTTTAGTATCCTCCAGTTATTTCTAATTTACGCTCCCAGTACTATCAAAAATGTGGTAGGAAAACTGAATGCTATGAGCTGGTTAGACATATAACATGTACTGTATATAACTTGAATACCTACATAATATTTTGTATTTACAGTATATTTCGCCTTTCATCCAACAATCTTAGTGTTTTATAGAGGCAGGACATGATCTACAAGAAGCACCATCATTTTAGGAGTCTTCTGTAGGACTCAAGAAGAGAACATGATTAAGTGGAAAACAAGACTGAAAAGTAAAGAGATGTTTTAAAAAACAGTAAGATGTTCTGTATTCAGAATCATGGCCAGTCATATCAGAGATTAAAATCCTTCTCCGAGACTACTTCAATGCCAGTATTCTAGGGAATGTGAGTAAAAACAATTAGCAACATAAAGTGTCTTGTTCTAATGTTTGTCGCTACTTCTGTTTTTGCTAGGAAATAGATAAAATAGATCAAATCTAGTCAAATATTTCTTAAGGTAACAGTAACTCGTTAAATGAACTGCTTTCTTTAACCAGAAGGCATTTACCAAATTGTGATCAACTTCTATTTCCTGGTCTCTAAATTAGAGTGTTTTTCTGAGCAGCAAGTAGGGCGTGTTCATTTTTATTTAGGCTTCTAATATTTCCTGCCATGATATAAATGTGAGCTGTGTAAGGATATTTATTACTTTTAAGAAGGTGCTTGAAGCTTTGTAAGCCCTCTGGGCTGTTTCTATGAGAATTCCAATAGATTTGTGAATATGATTATATTTTTAGAAATGAAGGATTTCACATTCTAATTTATGTACATACTGTGGGTGAAAAGATACTGAATATGAAAAGAGACATGGTTGTGGAGTTTTGGGCTTTATCATGTGAAATTGATGATGTGCAATGGTTTCCACAAAGACTTGTAATGAAAAATTAATCACTGACCCACTGGTGGCCATAATCCTGAGGCAGTGGTTCTTCAGTTTTCTTGTGAAGATGGAACACTCTTGGCTTCTTAAGCAGCGGGAGAGGTGGGGAACAAGGCAGGGCAGAATAGCATTGCCACTTGAAAAGCCTGTTTTCTTCCAAGCAGAGAAAGCAAAGCAGTTTTTGAAGGCTGTCCTTGGAGAGTCTAGATTACCTTTTCAGACCAAGCCATTAACGCTGTCTTCCTATCTATGATCCACTTGAAAGTCCCAATCTCTCTTCCTCTTGCCAGCCCCCGAGACAACATAAGGTACAAACTCTATCCTTAGAGTACTCACACAAATATAATTTAAGCCAATGGCAGTTTCATACGTGTATCCAAAGGGAGAATTTGGCCCTGTGCTTTGGAAACATGGCTCTATTGTGTGATCTTCTCTGATGCACTGGATTTTGACAGGAGCAGCCCACGGTAATCAATTAATTGATACTAGAAACAGTTTTTCCACTTTGATAAATTGCAAAGTGCAGTAATGTTACAACGTACAGATTTATAGTCAGGATTAACTATGTATTTTCTTCAATATTTGTCCAACTAAAGAGATGCTCACTTTGTGGGTAAATATAGGTGGTAATGTAAACGAAAGATTTGCATTTCCTGATATTATAAATTATTTCTTACCTAAGCACGCATGATGCATCAAAAGATGCAGCATTTATTTTGTTGGTTTCAAACTTTTGTTTAATGGAAAGTGCAATCTTAGTATTCCTATTTATTTAACTTATTTCAGTAGGAGATATTAAAGTATTTATTTTCTGAATGTATATTCCATTTACCTTAAGTAAATCCATATTGGCCATACTGTAATAGTGTATCAGTCCATTGAACCTTGACTGTACAGTTCTAATTTACATAAGTTGTATATTTGTGTATATTTCCTCTCTGTATTGTTACACTAGATGATTAGAAAATAAGCTGTTCTGTCCTTACTACAGTAAGAATTCTGGAAAAATCAATTCTGTCTTGATTGTTGGGTCTGAATAATCAGCTCAGTTCTTGAGACCTTAGTTTGTTTTGACTTGTGTACTCTTAATCAGAAGATGAAGTTTTTGTATTAAATGTAATGGAGTCACGCTGTTCATCTTGGAATGTTGATCTGAGCTATTACTGGGCTCCCTGAAGCACTCCTTTGGGTTATGAGATTTAACAAGGCTATATCTAAAGCTAGTGCCATCAAAAGTTATCAATGGGAAGTAGTAAGTGAAGCTACCATTCCATCGGTTTTGTGCTTATGTCTGTGCCAGAGTCAGGCCTGAAAAAGAGGTGCTAAGGCCAAGCCTAAAACCAGATCTGAGTACCAAACAGCTGAATAAGTGCTTAATGTGTTTCTGACCCTATCCCTATGCCTCACTGGAGTTTGAAGTGCAGAAACAGCCAAACCCATTGTACTGCTTAGGGTTGGCACGTTTCCTTCTGTGGCATGGGATGCCTGCCAGGATTCCGGGGACTGGTAGGCTCCCTGCCAGAGCTGTGAACCCTACAATGCTGGCACTTGTCCAGTAAAAACCTGCTTGCATTGAGGCAAAAGTTTTTGTGAATATTTAATAGATTCAACAAAACGTTTCACTGCAATGAATCAGCATTTGGTTTGTTGGAAATTTTCTGACCAGCTGTAATGATGTTAGCCAGTTGCAGGTAGGCCAGTACTCCTAACGAACAATCTAGCCTTTCTATAAAGATAATTGATCTGTTCCCTCTTCCCAAATCTTTGAGAAATATTTCACAGTTAACTGTCACACAGTAAACTGTTAACATTAGCAGACTCAAGTACATCAGCTGGAAACATCACATAAGGAAGTTCCTAAACCCCCATACAGCCAGATGCTTAAGTCCCAAAGGACTGACTTGTCCCTTAAGCCTTCCAATATTGATAAATTGTGTACCTTGGAGTTTACTATGTGGAGGAAGCTTTCAGAAGGTACCTTTTTAACTGAATTTCTACTTGCTCTCTCTCCTATCACACATGATCAAAGTAGCTGACTGCACCAGGCTCCTTAGCAAAATTGCCTACTCCCTGTCGTGTGACGTGCCAGGGCTGGCTGCTGATCTGTACCCCAATACTTCATTGTATAGTGCTTTGGCATCAAAGGTCATAAATGTAAACCATTTGCTTTTAATAGTCCTGTTAATCAGCAGCTGACAGAGGTTATCCATTGTGTACAGCCCAGCTACAGATCAAAAATATATTTAACATGAGTAAATCAGCACCCTTGCAACTACATTTTCCATAGAACTTGGACTCATTCCCAGTGGGTCACTACTGAATAAACAAGGAGAATGATTCTCAGTATAAACAGACACCATACAACTTTATTTCCTTAACAGAATCAGTGCCATTAATGCAGCTGGGGGCAGGGGCTGGAGTTTTGGGGAAACATGGGAGGGAAACATGCTTTAAGCAGAATGACAACTATTTAGACTATGAGACCCACATTCTTTGATGTCACCTTATTGCTGTAAGATTCTCATTGCTTTTTAACTGCTCCTTTAACATATCTTTCCAGAGTTACACCAGTGTTCCCTAGCTCCTCTCCTATATTTCCTGCTCAGACCAGTAGTTAGAACACCTGTACTGTGATCAGTGCTAGCGCGGATTCTGCACCAGCAGTGGGAGAATTGCTGAAGTCTTGTATAGATAATGCCCCTGCATGTGAGCTCATCTCTTGCTATGCTTTCAACTGTCACCAATACAGCAATGGCTACCATTTGACCAGGTATCAGAGCAGAATATTATTAGCAGCAGAGTCCTGCCTATCCTAAGAAGAAATCACAGGGAGGGGCCTTGTCTATGACATTTTAGCAATTTTCCCACCGTTTACTAAGCCCAAAGCTTCCTGTACAGGTGAAATATAAGATCCACCTTTTTGAAGATGCTTTCCTATAGCAACAGTGCCTTTAACCATCGCCAGAAACAAAACCCAATGCTTCTATTAACAAAGCCAGAGATATCACTGTGCTTTTGGTTGACTGGTAATTTTGTGTGACAGCCAGGGGGGAAGCACCTTCCATGCTACCTTAGATATTGGCATTAATTATTATTTGTGTTGCTGTAGCACCTCTGAGCCCGTGTCACAGACCAGAACCCTATTGTGCTAGGTGCTGTACAAACCCAGACCCAGCAAGGATGATCCCTGCCCTAAAGAGTTTATAATCTAGGCAGATAACCATTTATCCTCCATTCACTTCTACATCTGAACCTGTCTGATGGCTCCAGTGTCAGCTCCATGAGTCTGATGTTCCTTTTGCTTTACACAGGCATAAGGAAGGTGAATCCACACTGAATTTACTGACAGGTGTTAATGGGTTTTAGGCCCAACATGCCTAGGGTTGACTCACTCTCTTTCTGCCCAGGCTTCCCTTACTTAGTGTCAGTGCTCCCAGGAGCAGGCTGCCTAGCAGGAATGCTTACTCCTCTGGCTTGCAGGCCCCTGCAGCTGATACTGTGCTGGCCTCTCTGGCTTATCGTGGCCTCCCTTCCCTACCACCTTGGCCATTCCTCACCTGGCCTGTCCTGCAGGCCTTTTGCCACCTTGCCTGTGCTACCCCAAGCCATGCCCCGGCCCTCTCTCCTAGCAGCCAGTTCCCAAAGTCCCAGCAATGCTGCTGCACTGGAGAGAGACTCTTCCCTTCCCCATCTGTCTTAGCCACCGGTGCACAGGTCACACACCAAAGCTGGGGCTGCCCCACACCTGGGTTTATGGGTCAGCCCGCACAGCTTCCCTCTCTCCTCCTTTCTAACTCCTCACCCCCCTTGCTGTCTCCCTTCTCCCTCTCCTTGTCCTCTTCCCCCCCCCCCTTTGTGTTTCCTTCTGTATATGTCTACACTGCAGTTAGACGCCATGGGCTAGCTCATGCCACCTGACTCTGGCCAAGGGGCTGTTTAATTGCAGGGTAGATGTTCTGGCTGAGGCTGCAGCCCCACCTCTGGGGCCCTCCCCCCCTGGCAGGCCCCCAACTCCAGCCCGAATGGCTACAATGCAATTAAACAGCCCCTTAGGCCAGGGGTTTTTCTTCCCTGTGTAGACATACCCTCACGTGGCTCCTTTCAGGAGTGGGCGTGTCCCCCGCCCGGTTGCCAGCGGGCGGTGCCTCGCTGTCCCCGTTGCTGGGGGCGGTGAGGGAGCTGGGTTGTGATTGGCCGGGGGGAAGCGGCGGCGGCCATTTCCAACGGCGCGGGGAGCGCAGAGATGGCGGCGGAGCCGGGGCCGGGTACCGGGGCTCTGGCCTTCCGGGAGCTGCGGGACCTCGTCGCGACCCAGGAGGCGCTAATAGAGCGGCTGCGGCTCCGGGTGCGGGCGGGGCCCATGGGCGGAGCGGCGACGTGGATGGGCGGGGCTTGGAGCGTTGGTGGGTGGGGCCATTTAGAGGCCCCGCCCCCTCACCCCTGTGCTTGTTGCTCTTTGTCCTAGAAGGTTCCTGCGGCCCCTCATCCCGCAGTAGGGCGCCCGCTGGGCTGCACCCGATACAGGGGTTTGAGCAATAGGTGCATGTGCTCACCCCCCCCCCCCGCTCTATGATGTTTGCACGTGAGCAGGTGTGTTGTGTTGCCTCTGCCAGTGCTGTTTTCACAGGCATGCAAGGCCCCAGCTGCCCCCTTTTCCCTAGTTTTGTTTGTGTTCAAGGTAGTGAATTCCTCTTGCGACACCTCTGCCCCAGCGACTGGCTAGCTGCTGGCAGGCAGTAGGGTCTTTGTACCACACTTGGATTTTATGGCCAGGCCTTTAAAAAAACATGAGTGATTTGGGTGTGTCTGTTGTTGGGTGTCCAGGTTGAGACACCTTAAAAAGTGCTGATGATCAGAAGATGCTGAGCATTTGCCCTTGGAAAGGCAGCCTTCTTTGAAGGGTGTGAAGTTGGGCACTCAAAAGCTGTAGCTCACAGAAGCTTATGCTCAAATAAATTTGTTCGTCTCTAAGGTGCCACAAGTTGTCATGTTCTTTTTGCGGATACAGACTAACACAGCTGCCACTCTGAAACCTGTCAAAATCACTAGTGACTCTGGTGGTCTGCCCAACATACATTGAAACTCTATCTGTGCATGTAACTGACTTATTGAACTTCAAATTCTTTTTGCAGATAGTAATACAGGAGGATAATTTTGTCCGTAAAGACGATTATGAGGCTGTTGTGAAGAAGTTGGAGGTAAGTAACCTCTCGGGGGTAGGGACTACGTCTTCATACATTTTGAACAGTATCTGGTACCATGGGGCTCTAATCCTGGTGGAGGCCTCAATGAATAATGTAATATTTCTGTTTCTATTGGAAACTAGGCCAAACAGATTGAAATTAGCCTTGCAGTGCTTAATGAAAGGTAGGAGAGCTGCATTTGGACTCAAGGGTAGTTTTGATGCAGCTTAGCAGTTTTAAAAAAAACTTGCTGAGTACCACATTAATTAGACACCAAAGAGAGTGAAGCTCATGGAAAGGACTATTAATTGTCAGTGGACTAAGATTCCATGGGGCTACATGTGGCACAAACAGAATAAAAAAACTGTCTTAGTACCACTAACGAGTCTTCTCTGGGTGTGTATTCTCTCTACCACCCCTGGGCCCCACCCCTTTTCCTGTCTTTTTGAATATTTGTGTCTAGCTATTTTGTGTTCAGTGGTGCTGTACTAGGGGCTCATGCTTGATTCATATGTGGTGAGCTGTCTAAAGAACCAGGTCAGTGCCCTGGAGCTTGCTTAGATGTTTGACATTTTAACTTTTTGTGGCTCCTGAGGTTATATAGGGTAAAGGGTACTAGGAGGCCCATGGAGCATGGATCTGGGGAGGAACACACACCTGTTCAGCCAGTGGAAGTGTTTGGGAGCTGGTCACTGAACTCCTTTCCCCTCCCCCTTCCCTCAAACTAAGAACTATCACAAACCTTACCACCTTCCACTCCAAGTGCAAGGTTCATTTATTTGACCTTGCCTTCTTTAATATAAATACATAGCAACAGGTATATTTTAACAAAAGAAAAAACGCTCCGAGTGGGCAAGGGTGAGAGAGCAAACAACACATGTGAGATGTGCATTTCTACTACTGGATGGTGCTCAGATACTACCATGATGAGTGCCATATAAGAACCTGTGAA